ATAGGCTAACCTTCGTACAAGGTTTGGCAGAGGATGTGCGTCTCTGACTTCGGAATATCTAAAAGCAGTAGACGGTCTATGCATTCTTTCGAACAGTATAATATTGTCTCCAAAAAATAAACCAAGCTTTGAAGCATCTCTATCAAGGTTCCTGACTCCATGTTCATGTAATGATGTCGCTGTAATAGTGATTGTTCTATAATAATTAGTATCATAACACATTTCGTCTAAATTGATTCTTCCCAATTTTATTAATCGATATGTACAAAATAATGTAATAATTTCGTTTGACATTGTGTCAGTGAAGTTAGTGATTAGTCAGTGATTAAAATGTAATAAAACAAATTATAGTTTAATCGCATGTTCTCAGTGGTCTGTAGTCTGATCAAAGAGGGTTGCTTGTGGATCGGTTGTGGATCTAATAATTGTTATTCCCCGGCGTGTAAAAGTTAAAATTTGCGACAAGGACGTCAATATTTTCTTTAGTTGGTAGTGAATGATTCGCGAAATGTATCATTTGAATAATTACGTTTTACTTAAATTAAAATATAACGAGAAAAGAAAAATATGTTGACATCTTCAGCCCTGTTAATTTAGTTTTTCGCTGTCCAACTTCTACTGGCAGCGACCAAGTTCGAACCCAGAAAAGTAAATGGGCAGGGAACTAAAGCCATTTTCGAAATTAAAAATAATCCTATAAAATATCCAACGAATTCAAGGTTATGTTGATTCACAGTTGAAGTTGTTAATTTAACTAATTTTACATGTACCGTCCAAAGAGTATAGTTAATAAGAGAAATGTGATATCTGGTAATAAACACGCGTCAATAAATCTACCCTCAGGTTCCTATAAATATAATTTTTAAACGCCGATAGTCAGTTTATCCTTGAATTCCCTGGTTTACTTGTGTGCTTCTCGCCGGAAGAATGCTGTCAGTGTCCATTCCAATGGGGTTTGTAATCGCATGTGAGCAACTCTGTGTGGACTTTAAATTCTCCTGAATATTTTCTGTTAAAATTAACAAACAGCAAAGACACCGCAGTCATTATACGGTCGTAGTCATGTTGTTGACTTTTTTTAAAATTTCGCATCGTTCTCCATCGTTCAGCATTTGGTCTGTTAGTTTCGAGCAAATGCATTGATCTGTTTATTGCCTAAACCTTTAAAGATTGCGATCAAGAGACAGATCTTATATTTTTGTTTCCAAAGTAGGTCTACTATTTTTGAAACTACTATATCAATGTTTTAATATATCGAAAGGGATAGAACGATATGCAGTACAAATTGAACCAAATACAGTATCAGAATCAACACAAAAATCTGATATTAAACCCCAAAATGAAAAATGCGGATGCATCGGTTATCAGACTTGAATAAAAACAATGCAGTGAGGCGAGACTTTTATTTCCGAAGAGTCCTTTGAAAAGTGGGTTTTATAAGAGACACTGTTCACTTGGTTTAATTAAAATTTAATTAACGCGGCCGTGTACGTAGAATCGATTTTATTGACTGCGTAATTAAACACCTGTGACTGTAGATTTAAGTGCAAAAGTTTTTCAATATTCATATTCAATTGCAAAATGTCAGTATTTGACGGAACGCGAGGTGTCCACGACAATGCTCTGTGCGTGTGCCGCACGTTGTTTCGTCGTAAATCTCGCGTGCCCGTGGCTCCTCTAATCGTCCGTGTGGGAGCAGTTTCTCCGTCGAAGGGGCCAGCGGCGGCCCACGCCGCTCACCCTCGCCGCCCGCGCCCTGCCCGCCCCGCCCCGCCGCCGCCCAGGCTTTACGTCGCGGCTGCGTAACAAGCGCGCGATTTGCGCCGCTCCAACGTAATCTTAGGGAACCCATCCAGCTAGACCCTACAGAGAGAAGCAGCCTCCCGGACAGGACCGCGTTAACCGCACAAGGTGCCCTGACTTGAGCTATGGTACAACCAGAGAGCTAGAAAGATTCTCATTATTTCTCTGTGGTATAATGATTCCAGAGTACTTACGTGTGTAAAATTGTATATACTATGTTAGTTCGAGTAAATGACGTATATTGTATTCTTAAATACTGGAACTTTGTGAAATATAATGTAATTTAAAGCTAAAGAAAAATTTCATCAGCCGTGAATTTTTAGAATCATTCAGCAGTCATTTTTTAGTATAAAAGTTAGAATTCCAACTCATTTGACAATGGCGTAGGATTTGATCAAGACGCTGAGTAGGTTTAAGAAGTGATACAGGATATACCATGATATTTTATTTATTAGAAATATGTGACTTAGTCTTATCATAAATAAATAATTATATGAGTTGTCATTGCCAACAATATTGTTTATTACAATAGAAGCTTTCGATAGCCATCATCATCAGTTTTCTGTTGTATGGAAGCTACAAAACGACTACCTACCTATAACGAGTACACAATTGTTGACTAAGACGACTCATAATTATTTCATTGTAAATGCAGACGATAACACACCACAATACTAATACTCATCATAAAGGTTGATGGAAGCGAAGAGTGTTATCTAAAAATTAGCAAAAATCGAAATAAAACGGTCATTAGAATTCGAGATGTGTTTCTTTAGCAAAAACATGAAATATAAATGCATTCAATTGTTTTTATGATATTAGGTTGAAGAGTGTTCTTTTTTTTACTTGTCTGGTGTAATTGGAGGCCCATAGTCCGAGCTTAGTGCTCTCGTATGTTGACTGACCAGACCAAGCTCTCGTCAACTTCCAATTTCTTCCACTTCCTGCCTAGGTCATTGGGTTCTTCAGAAGGTCATTAAGCGCCCAAAACCGAAATTGCTACTCCGAACAATCACTCCCAAATGATCCTGTAACCTACAAATAGATAAGGACAATTTTAGGTCCCTGAACGAGCCCTAAATTAATTATTAATTTAAGAAAAATAGTTTTATATTTATAACATAATTTAATTACTATTAACATACTAACAATTAGTAACAATGGTAGCATTTGCTCTGTGTGAATGTAATGATAATAATAGGAAATATAAAATAAGTTTATAACGATATTTTATCGTTTTTTACTAAAAATTTTATTACATTCGTATTAATGATCAGTTAAGTGAAATATTATTTAATTTCGGGTTAACCAAAGTTGTGTAAAAATCAAGAGCTTGTCCTTTCCTTTTTTTAATATTTTATTTGTAATCCCCCCCCCCCATTTTGTTTTCGAGGTACCGGAAGTACGTTCCGCCAGAAATCCAGCCCCGCATATACATATAACCTATTCACTCTCTTCGCAACTTACACGCAACAACCTCATTCTTTAGCCCTCTACCTTCTGTTGCCTTGCTTCATTGTTGCCTGTTCCCTTCCTTCCTCTTATTATTTTCTTCTCTCATTCATGCAAGCGTCTTAACAAAATGACCTGTTATCTCAAAACAACCCATTCTGCCTACTTCTTAAAATTAACCCTGTACAAAGTCTCTTTCGGGAAAGCAGGCGTGCAGATGTACCACCCACGTGCCTTGTCGTGCCGTCGTGGTCACGTGGAGGAGGTAACATCGCGGAGGTGATTCCGCCTCCGTGGCCCCGCCGTCCGCAGAGAACAACATTCTTCGCGTGAATCATGATTCCTTCGCTTTTGGTGCTCGCGTAGACGCTCTGGCCGTGAGCGTGCGATGTAATGCGGATGGATCGGCTTTGAATCATCGTCGTTCATTATAACACATTCAGACTGCGTTAGCGCTAGAGAAAGCAACTGACGAGGAAGATAACTGATATCAACAAACAGATCTCAATGAAATTTTAGTTGTAGAAACATTACGTCTCAACATTATGTTCTGATGAGTGTCGTCAATTTTTTACAAGTCTCGTTTAATAGATATCAGTGCAGAGGTAATTATAGAATATAAAGGTATTCGAACTACAATGCAAGTGAAAATTTTAAAACATTGCTCAGAGTGTTATGAATTCTGAGTTTATCCTCATTCTGTAAGTTTTCCCTCATGAGCTATATTTGTTATCGTAGTTTCTTCAACCTCTTGAAAGATATTGTATTATCGACAAGGATAAATAAATAAATAAAAAAAAAATATGAAACACTGATTCGTGCCAGTAATGATTATAGCGTACTTCATTTTTCTTATGAAAGGGCGTAAGACGTGATGACCAACATAGGAACACCCTCAAAATGTACGAAAGTGAACACGTTGGTTTAAATTGTTTTAATAGATTTCATAAAATGACAACTTGAAGGGGCCAACACAGTCATAAATTGGACTATTCGAGGATCTCTAACCCGTGGACAACATGGGGAAGCGTCAAATTATGTCATAAAAATTACAATTTTAAAGTTTATCATCTTTGCGAAGTCTTCAAATCTCAGTGCTACGTGTCAGATTTAGGATATCCCGCCTTTTCCAAGTCCGCCATCCAACCCAGCGGGTTTGCACTGCGCATTCTGGAGGTTCCGAACTTGCGTGCCTAGCGCCCTTACGTCGCGGGTTGCGAGGGAGAGGGAGAACCCCAGCAACTCGTGCAGGGGAAAATGAAACAGAAACACGTGCCTCTGACATCCGAGATCGTAACCAATAAAAGAGGGGCGAGGTGCGTAACCCTCGCCTTTTAAAAACCTCGGCCCGGTGACGTTGGCAAGTGACGACTGGGTGAAACTCCGGCGGTAGGTGTCGCGTGGGCCAAAATGCCATATCGCGACACTTACCACCGGGGCCAGCCGGCAGTGTGTATTACAGCAGTAATTCGTTCAATGCCTATGTTTGTTGTTTCTTGTTGCAGATCGACCATGTCGTGAGCGCGGGGGCGCGCCTTCCGTGGAACAGTGCGACATCTCCGGGCAACGTTAGCCTAACCGCCTGACCCGCAGCGCGCGTCCGCGATGACCGACCCGCCGGCGGCGTCCGAGGCGGCGGGCGCGGAGGGGGCGGCGGTGGAGGAGGGCCCACCGCCCTCGGAAGAGGCGCCCGCCGCCGCGCCGCCCGCGCATTCGGGCATCCCGCAGCCCGCGGGGGCGGGGCCGAAGCCGTCGGGCATCCGGCCGCCCAGCCGCATCGCCCGCCCGTGCTCCGTCGCGCCCAAGCCCGCCCTGCCGCTCGCCGCCACGCCGCGCGTCTCCGCCGCCACCAGTGAGTGCCACGCCCCCCCGGCGCCCCCGGGGCCGAGTTGCTGTGCGCGCGAGGGGAGAGCCTCGAGGACAGAAATTACCTTACCAAAGAGTTACAGCTTGGCAAAAGTACAGCTTGGTGTTTGAAATTGATAATTCTCATTAATTCTTTGAAGTGTTAGTGCTATTTGCTGCTTGGTGTTGTTTGCTATTTGCCCAAGAATCTCAGGGAATTATCTCTTAATAGTTTATCAGTAAATAGCAAGGTACAATGCTTTGGCGATTAACACCTTTAAAAATTTTAATCATGTAATTTTAGTCCATATTGGACTGGGCTGATAGCATCTGATTCCAAGCAGGGGATATGGGATGCGACTATATAATACTTACAGAGAAAGGGCAATCACAGGTGTGTCGGTGGGGCCATTTGTTTTGTTCAAGAGGATAGCTATCAACATGCACTGCCTACCACTTCTATGCAATTCCTGCAATGAAAAATCAGGTTCCTTGTAAGTTTCACTTTAAATCCAGCGTGCAGTTTTGAATTTATTACGTTCAAACTTTCATATGCCCTTTTTAAAAATGTTACAATTTGGACCGTGGTCGTTATTACTTCTTATGATTACAGACACTAGTCTCCTGCTTGGATATCAGAGGATACCAGTGAAGGCCCTTTGGGAGTGCAGTTAAATTGCTGACTATGATTCTCACAAAAATTTCTATAAGTACTTTAAGCCTTTAATTGACAAAATATAAAGTAACATTTCCCGGGGTATTGTCAAACCAGCAACACCACCATTGCAAACTTCAAATACATTGGGTAGCTGATCATGATTTTGCTATTAGTAGACGTATCTATGGACATTTAAATTTAATTAATTTTGTTCAATAAATAGCACGTCGTACTTTTGTATTGTGGCATAGTTCCAAATACCTGTCGTCCATTTATAACAATTGTATTATTTATTATAGATTTGTTCAATCTTCGAAATCAATTATATTAATTTTCGTTAATAAATGTTCAGTGCATTTAATTACATTTTAACCTGTAGAACTTAGTGTTCGATGTCAATATACATGTATATTAAAATAAAAATACCGCGTGAGAAAAAAAGCTATATCATTACCATCCCTAAGTGCAATTAATGATCAGATCCTGTATGAAAATGTTTTGGAAAGCTATCATTATTAATTTTCTGTTTTTATCTCCCCATTTGGCTTCATACCATATAAGTTTCTTCGTGATAAAGATTTTAAATTGTAAAAAATAAACTTCATTTGCAATGAACATCTAAAAATAGCATTTGAAAATGATGTACTATTGATGAAGGCAAGATGAGAAGAACAAAAGTTCTCATCTCTTCAAACTAGGATGTGGTTTCACTTTCTTTACCATAAATTCTCGACGATATTTTGCAGTAGCTGTAACTGTCTGTATATTTAGTAAGGTTTGCATTTGTACGTTCGAGGCTCTTCCACTTCATTGCTATTTTATTCATGCTAAGAACATGTTTGTAGTGTAAGTTAATGTGTTATTGCCAGCAGAAATGAAAGGAAGGTTTGGTACAGGTGTTTATTTTAGGAAAGGAATTCGCCACCGAAAATCTCAGAAGATTTAAAAGTCAGCCAGAAGATGAGATATTAATGACTTTGTACTTCGTTAAACAGTTTGTACAGTGTGAATTTGGAGTTTATTTGCATCTTGAAAATAGACATGTTATGTTTTGAAGATAACGTCTTGTGGTTTGTTTGATTTTAATACAGCATGAAAATTAGCATACCATCGTAATGCATAGACTTTTGAACGTTTCCCTGTGCGAAGTGCGAGACACGCCATTCTATTCTCAGTCTCGATTTCAGGGCAAGGAGTGTGAATCAACGGAGTTGATCTATCGAGGTTGGTCAATTTGTTACTTGAGTTCGCTTTGTATTAATTTATGCTTTGCTAGCGAGTTGCTGTGTACGAAAAGTGTGAAATCAGTAATGAACCCTTATAATTTGTTCTTATTTGACTTCCTTTGCACTCCAAGTTAATTTTATCTATAGAGACCTTTACGAAAAAACAATTGTGACTGTTTATAAAAAAGGGTGTTTATTTCATATGTATCATTCTGGGTTATTTAGTAATTAAACCCATGGTTTTAAATTGACCTTCTGACAGTCCAGGAAATGAATGTTGAATGTCTTCTAAATGTAAGATGAAACAATAATATATTTTAATGTAGCTCAACTATTTCTTGCTCCTGGGTTTGGAATCCTATTATGACATATCGTTTTTATGACATATCACGAACGGAACAGAATTATTCACGTGCCTAAAATAACTTGAGACAATTGTCAATTTAAGTGATATGTGTGAAGTGATTAATGTGGATTTTGTGAGAGTCGTAAGAATTCGTATAACTGTGCGCAAGCATCATGTAAATGTGCTATCATGTTTCTGATAATACGATCAAATGTGGAAAGAGATTAAAAATATTTTATGTCAAATATTTTCATTTCTATTTGGAGGAATTAATTTTATCTTATTGGGTCTTGAATACTCTTTTGTGAAATATTTTTATTAGTGCGTTCATGTGAAGCTACCATATTAAGTGTTACTAATGTATGTGGCCCTTTATGGACCAAGCGAAATTCGGCTCCTATTTTAAACGGGTAAGGCTTGAGGAGCCATGACATGGGATAGTTGATCCTTGACCCTTTTGAGCTTTCTTAAATTTTCACAAATATGTAGGATATTGGAATATATTTTAATGAAAGCTACGCGTAAAAATATTTCAATTTATCGAATAATATTTTTGAGTGGATATGAAGTATAAAATATAATTGCGAACCAAATTATTATGAGACAAAGGTATCTTTATTTTGTGCGAAATTACCGTTAAGCATTTCTCAAGAACCTCACGTGTGATGCTGCGCCATGGAAACCAGGCATGCCATAGAAGAAATTGCGATGGTAACTTTCTGGGGCCAATGTCAGACATGTGAACGGCGACAGCTCGATTCATTGTGACTCGCATACAGGATACTATGCTCGCCAAGCCTCGGGAAATAAGTCTTCTATCAGATTGACGAGCGCTTTAATGAACTTTACAATCTATAATAATCTGTTGCCCATTTGTGAATTCTGTGTGTGTATGGTGCTCGTGTTCTTGCAAAACAAGCAATAGAAACCACTGTTATTATTATTATTATTATTATTATTATTATTATTATTATTATTATTATTATTATTATTATTTATGCAAATAACTTTTTTTATGCCACCACAAACTTAGCCGTACGTTTTTTGAATCGTGAGTGCCCGGGCGCTAGCGTTGCGTTCGGCTCCGCATTGAAGAAAGGTCGAGGTGCCTGAGACTGACTGGCGCTCGTGCTCGCGCAGTGACGTGTGCGGGGCGCGGCGCGGCGCGGCGCGGTGCTACGAGGTGCGGCGGGGGCGGGACCTCTACCGCCCC